CCATCCATGGTTTGATTTACTTCATCTCGTGATGATTCCATAGAATTCATGATCGATTGTTTTGATGATTTTGAAGAATTAAACGGTTGTGTTGGTGTAGATGATACCTTAAGCTCATCACGATCAAGTTTTACCCTTTTCTTGTCACCTCGAGTCAAGGTCATTTCCTGTTGTGATTGTGATGTCGCAACGGCCTTTTTTTTTTTTGATAATTTATTAAAATCGATATCAACTTTTTTTCCTTTATTATAAGATTGGCTCTTAGAAATTGAATCTATATCGGACCTCACGATACGGATACCACTATTCTGAGGGCTTCTAGAAGATTGAGAATTCATAATGGAAGCGTCCGAAACGGGACTAACGGTACCTCCAGATTGTCTGACATTTTGTTGACGATTTATATATCCCGGTCGATATGGAAGATCGGATTTTTTTATGTTATCGGGCTTGTTTATAGGAAATTTTCTAATCATCGATGGTAACGTAGGAGCGGTTGGCGAAGACTGAAGTGAACGTTGGTCACGTGGAGTTAACGGAGTGGATAATAATGGCATGTTAGATCCGTTAGATGGAGAAGGAGAAATGATATCACCTGAAAAACCTTCAGGTGTATTTTTAGTCGATTGTGATTTATTCGTAATTGAGGAAGAAGATTTTGGGGACTTCAAAGTCGCAGCGGGAGATTTTGGAGTCAATAGTTGAGGCGGAGGAGCCTTCGAATTAGCTTTTTGTTCAATTTGAATAGGGATTTTTTCTTCAACAATACATAAGTTACTTTTTGACATTGCAAGCTTTGCACTTTCATACATCGCTTTTTCGTCCTCATGCTTTTTATGATAAGGCTATGATTGAGATTTAAAAAAAAGAAAAAAAAAATCAATAATAATGTAGAAAGAGAGAGAGAGAGGAAGAAAGAGAGAAAGAAAGAGAGAAAGGAAAAAGAGGAACTAATTATATTATATTAATGATATTAATGATAAATTAATACCATCTTTTCTCTTTTAGACATATTTTTCCATCTAGCACCAATAGCAGCAGAAATTTCACCAAACTTCATCCTTGGATTTTTTGCTTTTGTCTCTTCGTATACTTCATTCATGAAAATCATATAACCGTTTCTCGGTCGTTTAAGCCTCTCATGAGGTTGCATCCTCCTATTATCAGCATCAGAACCAGAATTACCACGGGATAGTTTTTTCTTATCTGAACAAGTTAAAAGGTAAGTTTAAAAAATATTAAAAAAAAAAAAAAAAATAGATTATAAAAATTCTTTTTACTGTGTTTGAACAGACGAACAATATTTTTAATATTTTAAACATTTTAAACTGTTTCAAACTAGTTTTATATATTTTTTTTTAAACCTCCAAACTTTTAATACCAAAGATTATTATTTGACAATGTATAAACGCACCTATTGATATATCTTTATAACTGGACTTTTTTAGTCTGTATTGCTTAAAATTTCTCCATGAGTAACAAAGCGAGCATCGCAAATATTCTCAACGCCGATACGTCCAATACTTCCAATCATTCGGATCATAGATCTTCTATACCAAACAATTATCGATCAAATCAAACTTTACCTGCCATAAGTGATGTATTCTCTGTTGTTCCTATTAGTTATCCGGGTGGTCCGCAGATTCAATTAGTTCCTGATGGTGATTTAGCAAACTTTAATCGTGCAAATTCAATGATCTTGAATCATGAAGTTTTGGATGCAATGTCCATGAAGACTGCTGCTGTGTGTACCTTTTATTTTAATAATTTTATTATTATTATTATATATATATATATATATAGATATAT